GACGGCGATGGTTGTTCTCTACCCACTGCGGTTCCTGATGCTGGTGCGCAAGATCCAGCGTACACTGACGGCGGAGCTTGAGAAACGCTTTCCCGGCAGCGTTGTGGCGCTTGTGGCGCAGCGCAAGATCACGAAGCGCCCGAACGACGTTTACAAGCTGCAGAAGGTGCAACGCTCCCGCACGAGCGTGGCAGTGTTTGAGAACATCTTGAACGACCTGATCTACCCGTGCGACGTCGTGGGCCGCCGCTGGCGCTGCCGCACGGACGGCAGCAAGGTGATGAAGGTGTTTCTCGACTCACGTGACCGCAAGCGTGTGGAGTCACGCCTGCCACTCATCGCGCACATCTACAAGCAGCTGACACACCGCGCCGTGAGCTTTGGCTTCATGTGGAACTCGAAGCTTCAGCAGGTTTCCTCGCGGTAGACATATGATATTTGGATTCCTTCGGCCGCGTTTATGTTACTGTTTTTTTCTTCGTCCCATTTCCTTGTTTCTTTTTTTTTGTCTAAGCGCACGGTAAACAGGGTCTGCCCTTATTCCACCTGCGCGTGATTGCGGTGTAGACTGGGCAGATTGCATGGGCCCTTGCGTCTGTTTCCGCGTGGAGTGTTGTTGAGTAATGTGCATCGTCTTTTTTTCTTCTTCTCTTTTTGCCTTCCTCCCCAGCGTCGGGGAAGTCGGCGAGAATGTCAAGCTTGGAGGTATCGGTTGTTGTGTTTTTTGATAAGCAAAAGGCGGCTGTAGTGGAGCTATTCTACGAGCGGGTCAAACCAACGCGGTGGCTGCTTGTGCGTTCCATCCCAATTGACGTGACACTGCTGCAGGTGCTGCAGTGCCTTGATGCGTGTGCCGCAGTCTCTCCACCGCCGGCTCAAGGTGGCGCGGACGGCGGTGGCAGTGGCAGTGGCAGTGGCAGCGGCAGCTCGCGGTGTAGCGTCACGGAGGGGTGCATTGGCGTTGTTCGGGTTGGCTGCACCCCGGACGAGGATCAGAAATATTGCTTGCTGCTGCAGTTTGCCACTGCCGGTGATGCGGCACGCGTAAAGCGTCAAATTCCACATGCGAACCTGATGGGGCACCCACCCATACTTTCGGAGTACGTCTGTGAAGTGGCCACAGTAAGACGCTCGCGTCTTGGGACCGACGATGAGATTAATGATGATGATGATGGAGTGGACATGAAGCCGTATGGCGCGAGCGGAGAGGAAGCCATCAAGTTGGTGGAGTTGTGTAGTGTGATGCATGGGGGTGTGGCATCCGTCTCCCTTCCGCAGAGCGCCTCTTCGAGTAATAAGATGTGGAGAAGTTTGGAGCGACAGGGCGGAATGCGCCTGGCGCACACTGCTCAGTTGACACCAATGGAGGACTTCTGCACTATCTGCCAGGAAATCGCCTCCAGTAGACCGTTCATTGTGACGTTGTGCAAGCATGTGTTTCACCTCTCATGCTTCCATAAGCACCTGGAGGATGTTGGCCAGTCGTGCCCACTTTGCCGTTTTTCAATGGCGTTGCTGAAGTCAAAGTGCTACGCATGTGGTGCCTGCAGTGACTTGTGGACGTGTCTTGTGTGTGGCTGGGTAGCGTGTGGGCTGGGCCACCGCAGTGACACCCTGCTCCACTTTGAGAGCACGGGGCACTCCTGTGCGATGCAGAATAGCACTTCCCGGATTTGGAACTACCGCGCTATGGATTTTCTGCACCACCAGCTGGCAATCGAGCTTGGGCGCGAGGACGACCTAAAGACTCTTCAGGCGGCCGCTGAGGATACACCCACCACCTCCCGCTTCAACAAGGGTGAGGTGGGGCTAACAGCCACTACGTACCGGCGCAGTCGGTGGTGGTGGGACGATGAGACGAGGAGGCGGCGCTTGACCTGAACGCCGAGTACGTGCATGAGTACTACATACGGGTGATGCAGCAGCTGATGAAGGAGCAGTCGGAGTACTTTGAGCGGCAGGGAGAGTCGGGCGTGGCTGTGCTGGCGACAACGACGACGGCGGCAGCCGAGGCAACCTTGGAAGCACCTGCCGCGATGCTGCGGAAGCTGGTGACGGCGGAGCAGCGGCATCGTAGGCGCCTCGTCTCAGAGTACACGAGCGGCATGCGCCGTGTAGCACTACGGGAAAAGATGTTTTTTTACCGCCTTGTAAAACAGGAGGCGATACGGAATGAGAGGCTGCATGAGGAATTGCTGCTACAGTCGCAATACATTCAAAGCCTCCATGCAAGCATCGAGCAGACAAGACGCAGAATTGACGAGTCATCGCGGCGCGGGATGGATCAGTTAGTGCTGAAGCGCGCGGAGTTGGAGTCGCTACAAGCAAAGCTTGACATGCTGTTAAGTAGTCTGCAATGATGTGTAACCATCCCTTTCATTTTTTCCCTTCTTTTTGATATGTTGTTGTTGTTTTTGCGGGCCGCTGTTTATTGGCTTGCGTGCGCAAATATTGCGGCTGAGGTGACAGGGAACCATGTTGCTGTTGCTACGATTCTGTTTTTCTTGGCTTGCGTGGGTGGCAGCCGCCAGTGCGGTGGGAGAATAAAGCTCCATCACCTTCAAACCTCACGCTTTTTTCCCTCTCTCTTCCCCTCATTTATCTTTTCTTCCGTATGACCCACGTGGCGGGAGCACTGCGACTTGCAGGGTGGGAACCGGGAAGAAGAGGGCAGTACGGTAGGGATCATCAGCGACGATGCGCTTCACGCACTCGAGAAAGCGGAAACGCTTGGCAGCTTCGGCAGCAGCATTGGCTTTGGCCACGGCGACGGCGACCCCAGCCCTGCAGCGTAATTCGCGACAGATTGAAGACTTTACGCAGCAGCTGATGGATGCCATGACGCATGCGAGCGGGACCACGGTGGGTGTGCTGCAGCCCTCCACGAGCTCTTCCGAGGGGCGAGAGGATGAGGAGAGGAACACACCCGGACGCGACAAGTTTCCGGTGGCTGCAACAGTTGTCAAAGACGACGCGGCAATCAACGCCACGGCGACGCCTCCGCAGAGGCGGTTGCAGAGCAGGACAATGTCGAGACACTCTGCAGAATGCAGCCCGTGTAGTCGGGTTACACGATCGACTTCAACAACGCGTGGAGGCCTGCAGGGTCACGGCAGCCCGTTGAGGGCCTCTAGTGTTCAGGCTGCGTGCACTCCTCACAGTGGGGATCACATTTGGCCGGGTGATGTTTCGCGGACGGAGGCAGAGGTGTTGCAGCAGCACGGCCAGTTGTCACAATTCAACAGCCTCTACGCGGTGCAGGAAGGAAGTGGCGCTTGCAGCAGCTGCAGCAGTAGTAGTAGCGGCCGCGACAGTGCAGTGGTTGACCGCATAACTGAAGGGGGCAAAGCTGAAGCGGGAGAGGCGGAAGAAGAACGACGTGTGCGGCGTCGACGAAGGGAGTTATCAGAGATTTCACCAGTGAGTCTCGCGTTGTACACGCGCTTAGCGGAGTGTGGTGTCGACGCTATGGACCGTCCGTTTGCTACCTGCGTTGTTAGACGAGCCCGGGGGCTTTTGGAGGCGTGGGCCACAGGCTTCTTGTAGAGTGTGGCTCGGCCCGTGTATTTTTTTTTTTTGTTGTGGTTTTGGCGGTTATGTCAGGCACCAGGGGACCACTGCGTGTAGGATTTTGATACTTATAGAAAATGATCTGCATATAAAGTAAGTAAGAGAGGAGGCGAATGTGTGAGAGGTGGGGAGGGAGAGAGACTGAAAACGAAGGGGAATTGCACTGTGTTGACATGCATGGATGCATTGCAGAGGAACACGACATTATTGATTGCAATTTTTCAGTTGACGTCAACACTTTTACTTTCTAAGGGGGTGCAGGCTCATGTAACAGCATCCAGCAGGAGAAGGAGGGAGGAGGTTTAGATGATTTCTTTTTTTTTTCTTACATCTACAGTTTAGATACCCAAAGTTGGACCAAATGGGGGACACGTACGAGTTTTTATTTTTTCTGATGATCGTCTTGTGCACCGTCACCGGGGTATACAAGGGCAGGAGGAAATACATCCATTACGAAATACCTCGCGCATGCCTCGTCTTCTGCCCTCAAAAGGTTTCAGATTCAGTTCTTGCTTGTGTACTTCTTGGCCATGGCCACAGACTGGATGCAAGAACCTTACGTGTATCGTTTATACTCGTTTTGTGGGCTGAGCTGGCATTAAAGCGGCCTTTTGTTTATCGTCGGCTTTGGCTCCTCGTTGCTGCTTTGGGACCTGCCTGGGTTTGGCCCCTTTGCAGACATGTATGGTCGCAGGGCCGTGTGCCTGCTTTACTGCGTAGTCTACACACTCAGCTGTGCCACAAAGTACGTCAACAGCTTCCCTGTGCTCGTTGTGGGCCAACTGCTTGGCGGAGTGGCAACCTCCTTGCTGTGGTCGGCCTTTGAGAGCTGGATGATTAGTGAGCGTCGCACACGCGGCTACGATACGGCGTGGCTGGGGGAAACGTTTTCACGGATGACGGTTAGAAATGGCCTAATCGCCGTTCTTTCTGGACTTGTGGCCCAGTGGCTCGCTGACACGTTTACTCACCCGGTTGCCCTATTTGACATGAGCGCTGGTCTGCTCGTGCTGTGTTTTATCATGGGTTTTGTGCACTGGCCAGAGAATTACGACGCCCCCCAAACCAACCTTTGGCAGCAAATGGTGTATGCCGCCACTGCGGTGTGCGAAGACACCCGCATTCTCTTAGCAGGTGCGCAGCAGGTGTCCTGTTTGAGGGCGCCATGTGCGCCTTCATATTTTTGTGGACACGCGCGCTGGAGGCAAATGGTACGGTGCCGCACGGACTCGTCTTTGCCAGCTTCATGCTTGCCCTGAGCCTGGGTGGGCTGCTGTTCAACTTATCGGCCGAGTGCGTGGTTCTGTGAATGCCTGTGCTGCATATTGTTGCCGCCAGCACTATGCTAGTGCTCTCCCACACGGAGAGTCGCATCGGTGAGATGACAGCAATGGCTGTGTTTGAGGTGGTGGTGGGCTACTTTTGGCCGTGAATCGCGATGCTGCGGGCGGCGTACGTCCCGGAGGAGTGCCGTGCCTCCGTGATGAGTCTTTTTTCGAGCCCCCCTTAACGGCCTCGTGTGCCTGATTTTGTTCGTGCAGGGTGCAATGGCCCTGCAGAGTGTATTTTTTCTTTGTGCCCTGCTCCACGCGTCGGCGGTTCTGGCGGAAGTTTTGCTGAGGGCGTTTACGGAACCTTCACGTGGGGGAGCACCACATCGTACGAGATGAGAGGAGGAGGGACAAACCGCAAGTGTAGATAAGATATGTGTACATATGAATATTGCGCGGTAGTGTCGCGTCTTTCCTTTGTGCTTTTCCTTTCTCTGGCTGCTTCCACGTTCTTCCTGTGACGCGGCGGCGGCGGTGGGGTGGGTGGGTGCATGCACGCGTAAGCCACCCATACACACAGGCACGCGTGCTTTTACGCCTTTTTTCCTTTCTTCCTCGTGTGCGTGTGTGTGTGTGTGTGTGTGTGTGGCATATGCAGCAGACGTGGAAAGAAAAGTGTGCCGAAGCGCTTACGCGAGGAGGGATTGCAGGGTCGGCAACAATGATGCCGCGAATCAATGTTTCACCGATCCACGACGCCCTGCTTGTTGTGGACATGCAGAACGACTTTGTGTGTCCTGACGGGGCTCTATCGGTTCCAACGGCGATGGAGTTGATCCCTGTGATCAACCACATTTGCCACGCCTACGACTTCCGCGCCATCGTCGCGACGATGGACTGGCACCCGCCGAATCACTGCTCCTTCCGCAGCCCTGAAGGACCCGGTGGGCCCTGGCCGCCGCACTGTGTGCAAGACACTTACGGCGCCGAGCTGCACCCGCGTCTGCGGCTGGGGCGAGTCGACCACGTCGTGCACAAGGGATCGGACGAGGACGCCGAGTCCTACTCCGGCTTTGCCGACGAGCACGGCAAGTCATCTGGTCTCGCCACCCTGCTGCGGGAAATGGGCGTGCGCTGTGTGTTTATCTGCGGCGTGGCCTTTGACTACTGCGTCTACTACACGGCGCTTGACGCCTTGAAGGAGAACTTTGAGGTCATCATCCTGCAGGACGCGACTCGGGCTGTGTTTTCAAACAACATTGCAGAGCGGAGCATGAGCCTGCAGCACGCGGGGGCCGTACTGACGTCCAGCAAGTCTCTCAACGAGGCAGAGATTTGCACGCGCACGAAATTGTACGTCTGCGACGGAGACAATATTTGAGTGTTGAAATAACCCACCAATTAGTAAATATATCGGGGGGAAAAAAAGCAAAAACAAAAACACACGTACATACATATGTACAAGCTGTGTGTGGCGTTTGGATGGTCGGGGATTTTCTCTTTGTGTTTTTTTCTTTACGCCTGTAGTATTTCTGCTTCTTTTCGCGTTTGGTGTTAAACGTAATTGTGGTAACTACCGCCGACGGTAGCTAGCAGCACACACATGTGCCAACATGCCTCTCAATGTGGCCATCACAGTTTGTGGTGCCGCGTAGGGGGGCGTGCGTTTTTCGTGTAGTTTCTTTTTTTGTTTTTTTTGTTTTTTTTTGTGACTGGCGCTCCCGACTTTTGTTTATTCCTCCCAACCGTTTTTTATATATATGTGCCAGTATATATAAATGTATTTTTTTTTTCTTGTCGCATGTGCCAGCACCCACTCTCGCACTCCGTGGCTGGCTGGGTTTCGCAGGGTGGTCTCATTGCAGGTCACTTGTCTTGTCTCGCCCTTGCGGAGGAAGAGAGGGAGAGGCAGCGCGGCGGCAGGGCGGAAGAGAAGGGGGAAAAGACAGCCGCCGTTGCCACTACCGCCTTCTTGACGGACGAAACGAGGACAGAAGGGGGAAACCCACAGAGCGAGAGAAGACGGGAATGGTGACTCGTTTTTTTTTTTTTTACATTTTACTTCTTGTCGTTTGCTTCGGCTTCTCTTCGTCTGTCTGTTTGTGGCTGCCGTTCCTTTTCTCAGCCCGCTTCTCCCTTTCCGCCTCTGCCCTCTACCAGCACGGCCAACATCGCCACTGTGCGTCTGTGTGCGGGAGAGAAGCAAGTAAGTGAAGGAAGACGTGCGTGTGCCGAAAGCAACCGCAGGCAGCCCGCAACAATCGTCACCGGCGGGCGAAGGCACACACGCACACACCCACAGCCACGGGTGAGAGGTGGTTGCACCCCCTCCCACTGTCTCGTTGACGCGCAGCAGTGGAGGAAGAAGAAACATAAAAAGAAAACAACACAAAACGAAAACAAGGACGCGCGATAGCCTGCGAGTCTAGCAAATAAATACACCAACAACACACCCACACCCACTAAGACGCAACGGGGACAAAACGGTGGGTGCGTCAAGAGGAACAAATTAATAACTAAAACAACAGACAGACAAATTTGTAGTTGTGCTGTACCTCGCTTCATTAGGGAAACAAAAACAACAACACCGGGGGTTGCTCGTGTAGACGCCGGACCGTAAAATGTCAAACGAGTCGCAGTCGGCCCCGGTTGACGCTGTCGTGGCTCTCCAGGGTGCTGCAGCGGAGGTCCTTCCCGCCGGCGCCACAGCTACGACCACGGCTACTAGTAGTGGTACTTCTACGGCTGGTATGAAGAGTACCCCAACGGTTATTACCGGGACACCAACAATGACAGCAACAACAACAACAACAACAACTACAAATACAGAAAAGGAGGTTACCATGGCCACAGTTTCAGGGGAGGCTGATGGTAAACGCGACAATGCAGCAGAATCCGTTTCTGCATCATCTGCATCGCAGATTCAGGTGGCTTCCGAGCAGACTCCAAAGGAGTCACGTATACACAATGGAGAAACAGGCCAGACAGGTGAGCCGGCCGGCCAAGTAGACTTGAAAGAGATGCCTACAGAAGTAACACTGTCCACTCTGTCACCGGCAAAGCAGCAACTCAACACGAGTTCGGAGTCAGTTCCCCCGCGTGGTAAGAATAAACAGAGGCATTCGTTCGCCACTGCCCCTACACCCAAGTACAGGCAGCCAAACACTCCCCCCATGACGGACTTGAGGGTGAACAGCTCAATGACTTCAATGCAGCAACAAGTACAGCCGCCTCCCATGTACCAGACACCTATTATGGTCTCACCGATGATGTCCTCGACACTACCGCCGCCGCAGGGACCATTTTATATCACACAGCATGGCATGCCGCCACCGCCACTGCCGCCGCCGCCGCCGCCACCACCACCACCATCCTCTTTGATGTCGCCTTTCATTTCAGGAATTGGAGCACTTCCGCCACCATCGACGCCGCCGCCACCGCCGCCGCTGCCCTCTTCTGCTCCGCCGCCGTTCATGCAAGCGCCGTGTGGCCCCATTCCTTTTAACACTCCAATGGGGCTTTCTATACAGGCAGTGCTGATGGCAAAAAACCCCGAACAGAGCTTGTTGCCCTCGTTGTTTACCAACGCCACAATCCCCCCCCCTCCACCCCCACCCCCACCGCCGCCGCCGCCGCCGCCACCGCCGCCGCCATTGTTTGCAGCATCATTGTTAGCGGCCGTTCAAAAACAGCAGCAGCAGCAACAACAACAGCTGCCGCCACCGCCGCCTGGAATGCCTCCAGCAGGGACAAATGTCGCCCGCGTGAGTGTTGGTAATGCTTCCTTGGCAGCTCTGGTATCGAAGGAACCGCCAAAGTTTGTGTGTGTGTTGCTTTCCGGGGTTCCTGCGGTTGGGAAGACCACATGTGGACGCGAACTGGTGAATGAGTTACAGAGAGATGGTCTTGGGTGGAAGTTTTTTTCTGGTGCCGATTTTCTTGCGGGGACGGCAACGAAACGCCTTGTGTGGGAGACCACCAAGGAAGTTTTTGATGCCTTACAGAAGCGTCTGGATGAACTTCTCGAGGAGCAGCGTAAGGAGCGTAACGTGAAGGGTCTTGTGATTGACAAAAATGTGAAGGGTATTGAGGACGTCTACTATCTTGCCTCACTCCTCAAGGCGAGGCGGATTCCATTTGTCGGCATTGTGGGAATGGAGGTGGACGACGACGGTGTGCTGCTAAAACGTATGGATAGTGGTGAGGAAATGCGGGAAAAAATCAAGTACCACCGTGTTATTCATGCGAGGGTGCGGGCTCTTGCAAGGGCTGCGGGAATGTACCGAGAGATTGACGCGACGAAATCGAAGGATGAGGTTTTAAATGACTTACGCACAATGGTGCTTGGCTGCTGTGCACAGCCCCCACAACGCGGCATCCGGACAGACCTCTACGCCGGCTCCATGGCAACGACGATGGTTGATGACCATGCGGAGTATTACGACGTCGTTACACGCGTCCTGGAGCTTTTGAAGCCGTCAAAGGGACCTTCCCACTACCCTGGCACGATGGAATTTACACCTTTTTCCATACGGGATATGTCTGACAAGAGTCGGGCCTCCGCAATAAAGGCGCACTACGGCGTACGACGCCTGAATGACGGCGTTCGTCACCTGCTGATGTACCGTGACTCAAAGTTCTACCTCATCCCGACGCACCTCAAGGCCGTGCTGCGGATGCCCGAGAAGGCGTGGCTGGGGAGTAGGCTCGACTCCGTTGGGAGCTTTGTGCTTGAAGGGGACTTAGTGCAGCTTTCCAAGGAGCGCTGCTGTGAGAAGTTTCTCGCCTTTGACGTTCTCTACTGGAGTGACACAGGGCAGCCGGAAGTGAATACAGTGGCGTCCATGAACTGGGCTGAGCGCCAGGCCCTCCTTGACACTCACCTGTTCGCAGAGAGCAAGGCATTTTTCCCCACTGGGTCCGATTGCGTTGTGATGCATCAGGCGACGTTGAAGTTGGAGCGGATTTTTGACCTCTTGAACTCCAGCGATGACACGTTAGAGGGGATCCTGTTTCAGCCCATCACCTCTACCTACGGCTACGACAAGGTGTACGCCTGGCGCCCACCATCGAAGCTCACGATAGATTTTCGCATCGGCGCGTTAATAAGTACCACAACTGACGCAAATGAGGCGGAAAGCGACTCCAAGGACGCGGCGGCGGCGGCGGCGGCAGTGGCAGCAGCAACGATGCTGGCAGAGGAGGCGGTTGCGGTGACAAGTAATACAACCAGCTCTGCCCCCACTCCTGCAGGGCGGCCGCAGCCACAGCCGTCCAGCACATATCCATTAGGTCATAGCCTGAACAGCGCAGGGGGATTTGGGCGAAGTATGCTTTCCGAGAAAGTTCCTGTACGCACGTTTGAGCTGGAGGTGTATGATAAGCACGAAAAAGAATACGTTCAGTTTGAGGAGTGCACAGTTGAGGTGCAACACCCCGACGTGGTGGAGGGTTGTATCTGCACCTGTGTCCTTGCCAATGAGAAAAATTGCTCTTGGACCTTTCAGCGCATTCGTTACGATGTGCTTCGACCTGCATATAAGCGGGATGTGATGACGTTGCTTGAGCATTGCATTATTTCCAAAGCCAAATTATTGCACTGGCTGGTGCATGACAAGATCGTCCACCAGACACAGAATGAGATCCTCCCGATCATGCCAGCTCTACCGCCACCGCCACCGCCGCCGCTCACGGCCTCGGGGTTTGCCGCATCCAAAACCCCGACACAGCACCCTGTGGGTTTGCCCACGTACGCCACTGCTGTCAGGTTGCAGCAAAGTAATGCCCAGCCGCATGCGGCGATGCGGATGACGCCACCTTTGTCCGAGGTAGTGGCGTCGGGCCCTGCGTTGCCGTTGTCGGGGTTGCACACGCGAGGTTCACAAATACAGGGGGCTCCCTCGCCAATGCCCACGACCCCCTTCCCCAATGTTAACGGTCCACTGTATGTCCCGGCGGAGCCCACAACTGCGACACCTAATCCCGGAACCTCGACCACCGATGCAAATGCTCTCACTACATTGCAGCTCCTATCGACAATGGTCTCATCAGTGCACATTGTGCGGACAAATGAGACAGACGGGCAGAACAAAATTGTCTCCAGGGCCAACCACCGCCGCAACCAGCAGCAGGGTAACGATGCTCGCGGGTTAAGTGACGCCCACGAGAAGCATGACACCGACAAGCGAGTCGACAAGAACAGGGCATCACGCCAGGACGGCAAAAAGTCGACGCCGGCTGCAGACCACTGTACACAGTGCCTTAAGAAAAAACACTCAGAAGATCTTCGTCTTGACAAGCGGGACAATAAGTATTACTGCTACAGTTGTTGGGCAAAACTGGGCTGGGAGTTCTGTCGTGAGTGCGGGGAGTTTAATAAGGGCTACCGGGAGCGCACTCGCCGCCACGTGGGCGAGTTTTACTGCAACACCTGCTGGTCCAGCTTCAACAAGGAGGGTGAGGAGGTGACAAGGAAGGGCAGCCAACCTTCCGCGAGTCCTAATGGACAAAAACAGCATAATCAAAGACAGAGAAAGCAGAAGCGGCAGCAAGTGGAAGAGGATGGTGTTGACGTGGAAGAGACGGCGGAGAAGAAGATGAAGAAGCGAAGACCATCCGAGCGTAAGAGCTCGAGGAAGTCACCAAGTGACGAGGAGAAAGTGATTGCTGCGGCTGCGGGGGAGGAGGATAACATGAACACGAGTTTGTCAGACAAACTCAATCTTTCGGAGGGAGTAAATGCGGGTCAAACTAATACGAAAAGGAAACGAAACAGAAAAAGTGTAGTGGAAACGGAGACATCGTGTGAGGTACATCAAAATATGATTGAGCCCGCGCCGCAGACCCCACAAGAGGTTGTCGGCCCCAACCAGGTGGATGTGGTGGTAGAGTGACCCCGTGGGGGGAGGCGCTAACGTGAGCAGTGAAAGCGTGCGTGCGTGCATGTATGCATGATCAACGGCTTGATAAGTGTGTGTTTGTCTTTTATAAGCTTTTTTTATCCCTTTTTTTTTTGCTGGCTTGTTTTGCCCGATTTTGGTTTTGCTTGGGGTGCTGCCTCTGCGTTGTGTGACTCCAGGTGGGTGCGGAGATGTGTGCCTCTCGCTCGCCATGCACATCTGCACGGGTGGGCGGGTGAGTGGGAGACGCATTTTGGTGGCAGCTGCGTTGCGG